TGTATCTGCCCCGCGACAGCGCATCCTTCGATCCACCCGAGATCATTGTCCCTTAATCCTTTAATTCTTTGATCCCTGCGCGACCCATCATTCGAAGACACACGTTTGAAATGACGGCCAATAGTCGGGTCGTACGAACAACTGGCACGTGCTCCAGCCTTCCCTATTTCGCATCGAATCATTCTTTACGGCGAGAGAAACAATGGGACGATCGGTATCTGCTGAATCTTGAAATGTGTCTACGAGAGGATAAGACATGGTGCTGTCAGGTTTTTATGGTTTCCCGATCCTTAGGGTTCTTGGAACGCGGGATTCTTTTGTGAGATTGTATTCTTATTAGGGAAAGGTTGGATAGATTAAGAACACGTATCTATTTTAGAAAATGTTGTTTTCTTATTTATTATATACTTATTTTCATGACGAGCAAACATGAATACATTTAATTAAATATAACGTCAAATTTATTATAAATGTAACCATTAAACAACCTATCAAATATTTTAGTGTTCAGGGATCTGAAGTATTAATTGTACTACTCAATATACTCTTATCGCTGATATTACTCCTTCATCGAAAGACAATAAACTTATCAGATTGCCCAGAAGATACACACACACTTGCACAGATAATGTTACACAAATTACACATCACGACTCGTATTATTGGACTAATCATCGACTCTGCAGAAGATAAATTTATTACTCATCTATCTGCGAGCGCGACGGAATCCAAGTAGCCGTTTAATCTTCCAACTCAGGTGATCCAACTCGCTTCGTTTTAGCGTTACTTTCCGTCAAGGTGTAAAAGGAAAGGCAGGATCAAAAAACGAAACGACGTATATTGGTAATCTTCGAATCGGTTTCGAGTCCGCGGATCCTTTTTCTCGACCGTTATCGATAATTATCAAGAAAGCCGACCAGACACCAGGGCGGAGAGGGGATGGGATGAGGGACTAGTTAATGATGTGGCTACTTTACGCGACAGGTACGCGTGAGTTCTCTCTTTCTTCGTCCGATGATTTTTCGTGGTGGTTAGATGTGGGCATAGGGGCAGTCAGTCCAGTCAAGCAGTCAAGCGATCGAAGAAGGCAAGCCCGGCCAGTCAGGTTAGGCGCTATAGACGATCGTGTTCGAGCAGCCGAGTGACCCGACACCATGCGCTTACGGCAGGTGCTTGCCTCTTATACAGCCTTTCTCGCTGGTGTCGGCTTCTCTCATACCTTTAATGCCGCCTTGGTAAGAGCCAGACCCAAAAGAAGTACCTCGGCATCTGCCTCGCTCTGTAGACGGGCGCGCGCGAGTTTCAGATCGTCCGCAGGCACGGCCGAGTGGGGCTGAGGAATCGAGCCACGCGCCAACCATCCCCTCTACTCTTCCTCTTCCTCCTTCGCGATGTTTCTTTCCCGTCTACCGACGCTCTATGCTCTCTTACGCTGCTGTATACTCCACGTAGGCCTGCACAAGATGTCTCTTCCTACTTCCGGTCACTTCCTATGCATTAGCTGTGCAAGGATCATTAGCACTGATAACGTGGATATCGACCTCGAGAGTATACAGAGGCTACTCGCGACTACTTTGGGCTAAATTTTTTTCATAGTATATTTTTTACAGAATGTGTTACAATTAAGTATTACAGAACGATCTACGAGATAGATCCTCATTTTTCATTCGTTATGCTATTTCTCTGACTGTGTTATTTTATATTTTTATTTGACACTCTTCATAGAAGCGCTATTGTTTCATTACGTTTGCCAGCCTTTGTTGTTAATAGTATGTGAAACAAGAATAATTGAATTTCACCTTTATTTGATCTCTGAGATTTTTATGTCGTGTAAGTTTCAATGTCTATACAGTTATTCAAAGATTAGCAAGCAATTGATAATTATCCATTCTTCCGATTTTTAATTATAATGACTTGAAATTGTGAAAAAATCAAAGAAATAATTTATATTTGAAATAATTGAAATTATCATTACGTGCTGCATGAAAAAAATATAATGTTATGTACAAATTGGCATAAATATTGAAATTACAGTTATAAAAATTAAATTCTAT